GGCGCGCGCCCCGGCCCTGGCGGCCCCCCTACGCGGCTGCCCCGCGGCATCGGCCTGGCCCTGGCTGCGGGCCCACTGCTGCTCGGCTCCGAAATGGAAGATGGACCCTCCACGAACGCGAGCTGCTTCCGAAGGCTCACCGAGTGCTTCCTGAGCCCCAGTAAGTGCTCGCTCCACGGCCGGCCGCGAGCGCTCGGCCCGCTGGCAGCGCGCGGGGCTGGACCCCTGGGGCGGGAGGGAGCCCTTCCGAGCTGGACGTTGGGCCGGGCGGTGGGCCGGCGGGCCAGGCGGCAAGGCCGGCAGGCGATGGGTCTGCCCTGCAAGCTCCTTGCAGCGGGCCGCGAGCGCGGCGGCCGCGTGGTGGAGCGCGCCGGAGCCGGGGGCTGGAAAGCCTGGGAGCCTGGGAACCCAAGCCTAAAAGCTGGAGCCTAAGAGCCGGAGCTCGGGAGCCGGGAAGCCGAAGCTGGGAGCCCAGGCGTCACTTGCGCGTGGCAGGGACGGGAAGCCACGCGTGGAGCCGGGCAGGCAGGGACCGACCGAGACCATCCCCCGCTCCGGGTCCGGTCGCCGGATCTGGCCGCGCTCACCCGGCACACGTGTCCACGCTCCGCTCGGCGCCGCTTACACCCTGTGGGCTCTTAGCCCGGGGTCCCCGGCGGGAGTGAGCGTGCCAGCTCCCCCTAGAGTCGGCCGTTTGGCGTCCCAGGCCAGCGAGGAAGTGGGGCAGGAGCCCGCGCGCTCCTGGGAAGGCGCACACCAGTTCATCCCAGCCGCGCTTCGGGGCGCTGTCCCAGGGGTCCCCGGCCGACCCGCATTGACCACGCTGGGGACGGAGGACTGGCCAGGTGGCAGCGGCGCGTGCCTTGAACGTGCCCAGCGAGAGGAAGGCGTGTCCCCGCACAGCCCGCTGTTGGCACTGCGTGCTACCGGTGTGCAGCGGGGAAGTGACAATAATGAGTGGAGATGTTGGGTGACGCTTGGACTTGCTGGACGCGCCCCCGACCGGGCACGCAGATACCCCTGGGTGACAGAGGCGTGTCTCAGGGAGGGGCGCGACCAGGGCAGAAGAGTTAGGGCCCAGGCTCGCGCAAGGGAGGGTGCGGAGACGTTTGGGGAAGAGGAACCTGAGGTAGCAAAGGCGGTGTCGCTGGTGTGGATGAGGGTGAGCCAGGTGAGGACGTTGGCGCGATGGGGACGGGGAGTGGCCAGGCCGGGACGCGGACGGCCGGGGGGGAGGCAGCACCGGCGGCGCCGCGCGCTGGAGTCCCGGCGGTGTCCACGCGGCGCGCGGTTGCTGGCGCTACCCAGGCTACCGCCTACCACGCAAAGGAACCACCCGGGTCCTCGGCACTCGTGGAGCCCAGGTTCGTGGGCTTTGCTTTGTCTGCTCCCGGTTCCCGTCCGCTCTTCACTCGGCGACCCCTTTGCGCAGCCCGCGCTTCCTGGCCCAGGCGCCCTAGACGTGCAGCCCGGGCAGGGATCGGGTCAGCGGGGAGGCAGGCCAACTCCGACCCGGGTCGGGCGCGGTCCCTCGCAGCCCTGCGCAGCGGCAGCAAGTGGCGTGGCCTCTCCTTGGACCTGCCTGTTGACGCAGCCGGCCGCCCCGACATCGCCCCGGACCTCTGGTTGCCCTTGCCTCCCGCTCCAGCTGGTAGCCTCCTTGATTCTCCTGGGCACGACACCCCGGGTGTTTCACCCTGCTGGGGTATCCAGTTTACTCCTAAAAACTGGAGTTGAGAATGGCTGTGTGTGGGCCTGGGTGCCAGGGAGCAATTGTGGCTGGTGCCTCTTGCCCTTGAACTTGACCAGCAGAGGCATGTGCTTACCGAGAGGGTAACCCGCTGGCCACCACCTGTGCTGGGGCAGAGCATGGGGCCCTCCACCGGCTTTGAAAAGGGCTGGGGTCAGTCCAAGGGCTGGCGTAGAGCTGGGGTCCTCGCGGCTCCTCTCCTTGGTAGACTTGTGAATTCCTTCTTAAAACAACAACAACAACAAACCCCAAACAAACCAGCACCCCCCCAACCCCCGAACTACTTTTCCCACCTGGCAGTTGGTGGGTGGGAATGAAAGCGGCTGCAGTTGGTCAAAGCCAAACCTTGTTTTGTGCCAAGGAGGCCCAAGGGTGTAGCATTGCAGAGATCACCTTTCCCTAAAACACTGAGGCTCTGTTGCTGCTGTTTTGTTCAGTGGTGTGACCCATTGTGGTGTGACCCAGTGTGGTGTCAGCCCCCATGGAACTCCTCCTACCAGATCACATGGAATCCTTTGTGATGGTTTTTGTAGTAATGTTTTTGATTTTTGTCCTCCTTTTCCTTTAATTACTACTTTGTTCTCAAAAAAGTCATTGATACAGGTTCACAAAGACTAAGTATCCCAATATGGTAGCAGAAAATGCCAGAAAATTTGACAGAATCAACAACTGTAAAAACATCGGCAGAAACGAACACAACATCCTGAGCATGCGTGTCCGCAGGCAGAACCATGTGATTCGGAGCTTTACTGTAATTGGGTAATAATGACAGCTCTGACTAGGCGCACATTAGAAGGTTCAAAAAGTAAATTAGCATAGAGTTTTAGCCTTGTAGGTATATTGATACAGGTAAGCTGGGCTTATAAAAAATGTTTTTGTTGTTATAATTACATGTATACACAAGCCCATTGACACCGAGTTGATTCAGACTCATAGGGACCCTACAGGACAAAGTAGAACTGCCCCATAGGGTTTCCAAAGAGCAGCTGGTGGATTTGAACTGCCGACCTTTTGGTTCGCAGCCGAACTCTTAACCACTGTGCCACCAGGGCTCAACTACAGGTATATTTTTATTAAAAATAATCAGTTTTGCTGATACACTGCACAGAAACGGTACAGACAGTCATTCTGGTGTTGCCCCCTCTGACAGTGTCACCTGGCGCAGTCTGTGCACCCCCCCCCCCCCCCCCACTTCCCTGGTGCCATCGCTAGTTTTGATCACTGGTTTTGTTTGTTTTGGAGGGTGGGGGTTGTGAAGGTTGTCGTGGAGCAGAATAAAGGCGAACAGCAGCTCAGGGTGAATGGCTGTCTGAGGTGAACCCACATTGGACTTTCCCTTTAGAAAGACGGAGAACCTGGGGAAGAAGAGGGAGGCTGGAAGGCATCCACGCCGAAGAAAGTTCCAGCAAGAAGAAGTTGACACCCCAGAGAAAACCAGACCCACTGTCTTAGTTAGCTAGTGCTGCTGTAACAGAAATACCACAAGTGGACGGCCTGAACAAATAGAAGTATATTCTCTCACAGTCTAGGAGGCTAGAAGTCCAAATTCAGGGTGTCAGCTCCAGGGGAAGGCTTTCTCTCTCTGTTGGCCCTGGGGGAAGGCCCTTGTCTCTTCAGCTTCTGCTTCCTGGTTTCTTGGAGATTTCCATGTGTCTTGGCATTTCTCTTACCGCATCTCTCCTTACTCATTTGTTTAATTTTTTTATATCTCAAAAGAGATTGACTTAAGATACACCCTATATTAATCCTGCCTCATTAACGCAACAAAGACAACCCATTCCCAAATGGCATTATAACCACAGGCAAACCAAAAACGAAACCAACTGCCGTGGAGTCGATTTCAACTCATAGTGACCCTGTATCAACCCTTTACAACACATATTTTTGGGGGACATAATTCAATCCATAATACCCACCATAATTCACTGTGTCCCATTACGTAGCTTGGGGTTTGAATGGAGCAAGGGACTGCAGAATTCTCATTGGGACATCACAAGAGTAGTAAGTACTTGATGTGTGCCGTCGAGTCGATTCCGACTCATAGCGACCCTTTAGGACAGAGTAGAAGTACCCCGTAGGGTTTCTTAGGCTGTAATCTTTACGGAAGCAGATGCCAGGTCTTTTACTGGCTTTATGTTGTGAAGGGAGAGGAATCGAGACTAGAATGACGGACCAGTTGGAGCTGCTGGGTACATGGTGCTCCGTCAGCTGAGATGGAGACCTGGGAGGAGGATGCCAGGTGGGCCGGGTTCAGGGGTCTGACTGGCAGTGTTCAGTCTGCGGTGCGTGAAGTGCATCATAGTGGAGATGTTAAGGAGGCAGTTGGATGAGCGAAGTCTGCAAGTAGGAGGCTTTGATGGAGACTGGGGGGTAAAGATTGTATTCACAGTATTTAAAATCAGGGGGTTGGATGCCCCCAGGGAGTGTGTATAGCACGCTTCACAGGAGGCTTGAGGTTTTGCAGGGAACTGCAGACAGAACTGCTCAGTAGACAGTTGCCTGGGCCGGGCAGGTACTGTGTGATGGTGGAGGACAGTCACCGGAGATGTGCAGCCTGGACTGCTTTAGAGACTGCGCTCGCCCCGTCTCCGGCATTGAGGTGGAGCCGAAGGCAGAGGCGTGTCCAGAGCCTCTGAGGTGAAGGGGCAGAGTGAGAAGAGGGCAGAAGACATCTGACAGAGAGTAAGAGGCACCACGGACACCCTGGAAAGGGGCAAGGAGGTGAGATGGATCAGAGGGTGCCATGGAGTTCACAGGAGGAGCTTCGGGAAGGAGGAGGCCAGATGCCACCAAGGTCGAGTAAGTTCACCCGCGTAGGATGTGACAAGTGACCTTTGTCCAAAGAGCTTTCGTGGAGTGGGAGAGATGGACGGGGGCTTCCGAGGGTGAGGAGTAAGCGGGAGATGAGTGTGCATGGCTGCTGTGGTCAGTGGAGGTGGGCCGGGAGCTCGCTCAATAGCTATAGGGAGATAAAGATGACCCCCCCGCCAGAGCGATTGTGTATTTGTTGAGGAAAAGGAGTCTGAAGAAATAAGATAAAGAGGATGGAACAAACCTTAAAGAAGATAGCAAGAACAGACTATGGTGGACATGGGAAGGCTTTGCACACTGGAAGGGGAAGCTCTTCCTCAGGATGAGAGCTGGGGCAAGGGCAGGTGTGAATGCAGGTGTGTGTTTAGGTGGACGGAGAGAGAAAGGTGAGAAATGAAGAGCTTTCACTAGCTTGTAGTTGTCAGTTGCCTTGGCGTTGGCTCCGACCCACGGCGGCCGTATGTGTAACAGAACCATGGTGCAGTCCTGCGCTGTCTTCACCCTTGCTGCAATGCTCAAGTCCAGTGTTGCGGTTAATCTGTCAATCGATCTCATTGAAGGTTTCCCTCGTTTTCACTGACCCTCTACTTTACCAGCCG